TGAAACTGAAAAAGTGACCCTAAAGTATGTGATAAAAGGAACTTTTTCTGAAATAACCTGTTCCAAAAATAGCGAAATACATTTGGCGCATCTGTTGCTGGATGGAATGCCTATTGATAAATATAGGCCAGACTTAGTAAAATCTATTGAAATGACGCAATCTAAGAAAGAAGAGCTGATGCGTGTAATAACGGGAGATTTTCTCATTAAAGAGATTTTGAACCCGTACGACCCCTCTTTTACTGAAAGAGAATTTTCGATTCAAAAGAATCTTCTAGATGAAAGGATTGTTCGTGTTTATTATAAGAGTGGAAATATGATATTTATGGAATATGTAAAAGGTGCCGATTTATTTAGTAAGCCTCGATCTTGGAAAGGCAATTCAAAGATATTCGCTTATATTTTCAAAGAAATTGCTGAAGGTGTTAAATTTATGCATCAAAATGGGATTGTGCATGGGGATTTGAAGTCTGAAAATATTTTGATATCAAAAAAAGGCGATGTTAAAATCGCAGATTTTGGTGGAGCTGTGGAGATCAAAAGAGTTAATGCAAAAGGAGCTGGAAAAACAGAAAGAACTGATTTGGGCGAAAAGCCATATTCAACTAAAGAGTATACTTTTACTAGTACCAAAGGATTTTGTGCGCCAGAGCTTATCGACGAAAAGTCTGTGGAGCCAAAAGAATTTATGGAAATAGTTATCGGCAAAAAAGAGGTTACACAAGGATGGATTGCGCTAAAAAATGATGGAGAGTTAAACTTTAAGGTCAAATCTGATAGTTTTCCCACCAAAAGATCTGATGTATTCTCCTTTGCAGCTACGGTTGTTGACTTCTTTATAACTAAAGATGGAGCCAGGTACGACCGTAATTATTATGCTTTTCAAGATGATCAAGAAAAGGATCAAAAAGGGCTTAACAAATATAGAGATATCTTTAATTTACTAAAAAAAATTGATCGCAAGTTGGCCAAAATCATTCACCAGGCTCTTGATCCATCTCCTGAGAAAAGACCCAATATTGAAAAAATCCTCGAATGTCTCAAAAAGTTAGACTGTTGCACCAAAGATGAATTCAAAGAGTTTGCTGCAAAATTTGAAGAGCCTAAAATGATTCCTTATAAAAAACGATCTAATAATGATTCAGGAAACTCGGATATTGAAAAAAAAAAGCTAAAAACAGATTGCGACTATTCCTCAATAAAATTATCTTTTTAGGTGTTTGACATGTGAATTGGCTTGAAAGGTCAAATTCTCTTTTCATGGGCATCTATAATTAAATATTCCATTTGGTGCTCTATTAGCAGTTTCGAAGCATCGTTGGCAGATAAATCGAATTTTTCTGGCACATCAGCCACTGCATAAATTTGGCACCAAAGTAGTTTTTCATATTCAACCAAGTAAAATGGCTGGCCATCATACTCGATTATCCATTTCCCAGTTTCACGTTAGATTTAGCCTAGGTGATGCTTAACCCGAAACTGGGATTAAAGAGCGACCCATAACGCACACCATAACAAGATTCTACAATCAACACTGAGGATCACTGTAAAGTTCCTCAAAGTGTATAAAGTGCCGCCGCTCTATGCAGGGATTTTTGTGAAACATGAAATAAATTCAACAGCTTATGGGGCGATGCATTTGTGACTTCCATCACCACATGCTTGAAAAAGGGTTAAAAGCGAGTTCACTTTGATACGTTTTTCTCTGAAATGCCTGAAAAACCACAAAAAAGATCGGTTAAGTTTGTTCTTTGTTTTATGGTCGGTAATAATAACAGAGCTGCATGTGGAATAAAAACGTGCCGCTTTTTGAAAGAATAAAGGAGGTTTATTGAGATATTTCATATCGTTTTCAAGGTAAACCCTCAAAGAAATTGCAATCATCAGTTGGTGGTTTCCAAAACTGCTGCCCTCTTTTGGTGTACTTTTCATTGCATGTGAGATGGCGTATGGAATTAGAGATACCTTTTTGCCCATAAAGCCACGTTAATCTGAGATTTCATTCGATAAAAAAGATAAAATAGAAAAGAATCTACCAAATGCTGGCAACCTTTAAAAAACCGCTCAATGAATTCTTAAAAGGGCGACTTTCTCATAGCTTGATGGCCATTTGCGTTGTTTTCCTAATAGACGTCGCTGTCTTCGTCGCGTGTAATGAGCAGGCAACCTGTTGCATCGCTCAAAAAGCTCATTTCAGTAAATTCAGCTCCAGAATGCCTCTTGGGGCCTCAGGGATCGAGATGCTTTTGCATATTTCAAATGCTGAAAGAGCGTTTTTTCAGCTTGAAAAGTAAGATTACGAGAAAAAAAAGGCGTATATGCTAGCAATCCTTCTTATGGAAAAAGATGGATCCATAACTGCACTCAGTAATGAATTGTTAATTTCAATATTATTTATCCGGTAGAATGCTCGATCTTGGAGCGTCAATCATACCATGTTGGATGCTTTAAAGAGCCTTATAAGATGTGCTTGATCTGTAAATATTCTCCCCGTGTGGATATCTACTGCACTCGTTTGTTATAGAATTTCACGCGGAAAAATAATTAAATGCTGCCTAACCACTCCTTGTGAGGGTAGGGAAGTATTTTCCAAATCATAATAGTCAATGATGGGATGAAACCCAGCTTTGAGTAGCTTGAACGAGTTTAAGCTGAGAACACCTGCTGCTTAGCCTCTATTTGGCAGCCTTTTACTTTCCAAATGACAAGAGGATGGGTTGCATGGACACCTGATGTTGGACAACATCTTTTGCAGCACAGTATGGCTCCAATAAACTTGATTAAATTTCCCCGCTAATTGTTCGATAGCCATTGGGATTTTGGTGGTCTTGTAGATGAATCGTCAGTGGGTCGGCAAAAAGCGGACATTAAGATTTATTTAATGCATCTCGATCAGCTTGAAAAGAATGCGTCTGGCCTTCCCAGAGCGCTGCAGTAGGAGTCGTGCATCGAAACGGTCTCTTCGGCCCCAATGCTAACCACAATGGGGTCTTGCAGCAATCCTAAATTGACCAGGTCCCGCACATGTGTATCCTCTTGATCCCTAGATTCTTCAGGCTCCACCACTACCAGCGCAATGCGGCGTAGCGCAGGTTCAACCATGTGTTCCTTGAAGAATTTGAGGACGGAATTGCGTTCCGAGGCAAGCTCCGAAACTTGATGACTCGTTTCCTCAGCAAGGGTGAAGAGCTGATCACCTCTCCAAATGGAGGCCCAATATGGCAATGCTTCCGATAAAAGCGTCGTAGGTTCTTCTCGCAATCGATGAATGAGCGCTTGTCCGTGACGCTCCATATCTTCACTCCGCATAGCCTTCAGGATTGCCAATAGCTCCACATTGACAAATTCCAAAATACGGCGAGCAAGAAAAGCTGCCCCCTTTACGTTGGATTGCACTACCAGTTCAATGCCATGTACATTGCCGTCGAGGCGCGGTTGAGCCCGCACCAGGTACCCTAGCTGCTCTTTTGTACGCAATTGATCAGAGAAAGGCTCTGCCATTATTTGAGCCAGCAGCAATGCAGTGGCATAGTTCCGTAATGCGATTTTTTCCGCCTTAATGGCTCCAAGCTACAATGTAAGAAAAGTACAAAAAGATACAAAAAACAGTAGGCCAATGAAAAAGGAAAAAATCGGTCCATACGATTGACACCCACCTGAAAGTATACGTGCACGCAGCAGTTGGGCCCGGGAACACCACTTCGTACTAATAGTACGGGGCGCCCTTCCGGAAGTTGCCTGATCGGTGCATGTAGCGCCGAAAGGGTCGATATGGAATCTCTGCTTGGCCGATGTGCATCTGTAGTGGTGCCGACGACTAGATCAAGTAGGGAGCGGTGAAGCTCAAGTGCCTGAGTTTCGGTAAAATTTCCATGGATAAGAGAAGCAAATGTATCGAATGGGTTAAAACGTATTTTACGCTCATCCATGGCCTCGATAACTCGAAGAACGGCATCCGGGCCTGGGTGTGTAGGTGTCAACAATAGCGAAAGTAGGGCACTAGCTTGCTTAAAAGAAGCCTCTTTTGACTCCCCTTGCAGCCGTCGCTGAAGGCGCTCACGTTCCGTGGAAAACCTACATTCACCTTCGCCAAGTGACATGCTCTTCGTGATTGCTATCTCTGAGGCTCGAGAATTAAATGTTGCTGGGTCTTCACAACAACGTGTGGCAATACGTTTAGCCATCTCCAAAAGATGTGGAGAAAATCCACTTATTTGGACTACAAGGCCTGTGGAGATTGCTTTCGAAGACGCCACAGAGGCTCCTGAACGTCGAAACTCAAACTCGAGCCCAGCCAAAGAAGCGTCATAGAGCTCTTCTGCAAGCAAATCCTGCAATAGAGAACCACGGAGCAACAATTCAGCAAAGCGCTCTTCACTGCTTTGTCCCTGCTGAGACTGGCGCAAAAAGAGAAACAGAATGCCTTTGGGCAGTCCAAAGCGATCGTCACGCTTGAACCAGAGCCCAGGAGCAATTTCTTTCGGTAAAGGCGAGGTCTCTCCATCCGCAACAACCTCAAGTTCAGAGGCTGTGGCAATGAATGGATTACGCTCTGGTAGGCGAAATGCAGGCACTGGAAGGCAACCATGCATAGACTGTAACATCTCAATATCTTTGGCTTCTAGGAGACACGTTGCATAACGTGTGCCATACCAAGGCTCTACTTCAGGGAATTGAGTTAAACATTCCCTCATCACGCTTTCTACCGCTTGCTCTGACCCCTCATTGTTCCTTTCTTCTTGTTCTGACTCAATATCGCTCCTTTCTTCTTGCTCGTCCATATCGCTTTCAGCGTTAGTAGAGAAACCATCACTTAAAGCCAAATGAGGATTTTCGTCAGAATTCAAACAAACCTCCCCTTCTTCGTGCAAACATTCATCGCCTGTGAGCAACATAATGTGACAGCGGGCTGGAGTCAGATCTTGCTCAGCGAGTTCGCAAAGTAATGCTTGGCTAGGCATTGCCCACATCCAGCCTGCATGACCACGTAACCGTTCTGCAGGCGGATAACGGTGCATAGCCACGGTGAGCTCATAAACCATGCTTGTCGGATGGATCCGATCCAGAAAGTCAAACTCTTGTGCACGCACTGCAGAGAGTTCTGCCCAGCGCATAGCAAATAAAGGAGATGTGTCGCGGTCACTTTGACTATCAAAACCATCTAATGGCTTTGTACAACAATTCTCGCTGAAAAGTCCAAAATCGCCATCATTACTAGAGCGGCCTACGGGCTTTGGCACGTCCATTTTGCCAAGAACGAAGCGTAGCCAGTAAAAGAATAGCTGGGCAATGGTTTTCCATTGCTTTAGACCTTTTTGTGTAATCTCAAATGAGACATGGAAAGTTGAAAATCCCACAAATTCCTGCACGCCAACTTCAAGTGATGAGGCCAGCCGCGCAGATTTTAGATATGATAACAGAGATCCGGGGCGTTCGTCTCCAACCCACTCAGCAAGTAAATCAAGCGGTCTATGTTGCCAGACTAAGCGGACATCTCGCGCTGTCCAGTGTAATTCTAGCCTGCGGAGCGGTTTTATACAAAGCATCCGAGTGAGGCGTGCCTCTCCAAGAATAGGCAGAGCAGGACCTGGGCATTGAATGCTCGTGCAAGAAGATGGCGTGGATTTTGCGCAATCAATCGAACTTTCCTTTGAGACTGATGATGGGGTCGCTGCAATTGGAAGATTTAGTTCTGAAACGGACAACAGCGTCTCAGAGGCTACCCCATTGCGAGCCCCAATGGCAGAGAAGAGTTCTACCACCCAACCGCTGAGAATCTCCAACGGCTGACGGCCCAACACCGCAAGACGCATACGGGCAGGTCGATAATGTGTGTAATAAAAAGAAATGATTTCTATTGCAATGAGATTCCGTTAACAAACCGTCACGGACGGACTCTCCAGAAAGGGTTTCGGCATTACCGGTTCCAAAACCATGGAAAGGATGTGACTTGTCGGCCAGTGTCCTGAGGAGCTGCTCACGACGCCACTCGTCATCCGAGATGTTTTTTTGGTGCTCGCTATGCACCGCATCGCGCTCACGAGCCGTGCACGAGGCACTGAAGAGCGGCGCAACAAAAAACTGAGCAAACCTAGAAGATCAGCAAGGACTGAAAAAAGCACAACAATGAAAACAAATAACGTAAGCTAGATGTGAATTTTTGGGCTAAAGCCAGTGTAGTGCGTACCTATCCAGGGCTGGTTCTAGAAATGGCCATGCAACATCAAAGAAGTAGTTGGTGTGCTCGTCATCCGTGTATGCATTGGAGTAGCCGCCGTGTTCCGAAAGAAAGGTTTGATATTCTGCCTCATCAGGAAACTTTTCTGTGCCCATAAAAAGAAGATGCTCCAAAAAATGAGCAAGTCCAGGTCGGTGAGGCGGATCCATAAACGATCCCACAGCGACGTCTAGCGAAGCACTTGCAGTGTCCGTAAGTGGGTCGTGAATTATTATCACCTCAATCTCGTTGTGAAGGCGAAGCTGCCTGTATTTCCGCTTGTCGCTTTTCCCTTTAATAGGGTCTGGGAGAACAGTGACGTTCAACAAAGGGTTACCAACTTCCATTGTAAAAAGTACTCCAAATTGTTTAGTTTATTAAAATTACCTGTACTTTGTATTTAAATGTAAACTGGGAGGGGGGAGGGATTACATTCTAAAAAGTTGAACTTATCCATTGCGATCATATTAACATTTTCATGGGTCAAGAAAATTGTTCATTTAGTGTCAGTAAAAATCAACCCCCAATTCGTGGCACGTCATTTTATGCCTAGTAATTTTTTGAGCCTGGCCCCAGGTCAAGACCAGGATGGTGATTTATGCGGTTGAAAGCATATTAAACTATTGTGTATTTGCCACTTGGCTTTAACAGAATAAAGCTGAGACAGTCCGTAATAAGGCTAAAAAAGGTGGCAACAATTCTAAAGCTGTCAGATTCAGAAATGAAGACACGTTTAGAAATAAAGTTTATAAAGCCTATGCTGACTCGGAAAAAGTCGGAACTGAAGCAACAAGGCGGTATGTTAAAATCGATTAAACGAAAACTATCGTAAAGGGCGAAGCAGCGATCTTCTCATTCTTCAGTAAGCTCGAATCTAAGCTTGTTAAATAACTTGATACGAGTATTTTTTGAATTATTAGCTAGGTTCAGATTTACTGCTATGACTGTTTTTAATAAAGTGGCGATCCTAACCATTATCCGGTGCGCTAACAGGCACAGGGTCTTTTTTACGTATCAATTAAATTTCTTTTCTCAACTGATAGAGAAATAATTGTCAGCTTTGACAGCTAACTCTCTTGAAATTGGTTGCCAGTTAGCGATAGCGTTAGAATGAACGAATCTAGTGCATTAGATGATCCAAAATCGTAGTCTTGAGTGACTTTATTTTCAAAGCATCATATGGCCTAATCCACCATAAATGCCAGATTTGATATCCAAGTAAAGTGGTCTGATTAATGCCAGCGGGATGTTTTATTAACTTCTTAGTAGTCAATTCTGGCAAGCACAGATTTATGTTCAACAAAGCGGGGGATCTTGTAATGTTTTTTGAATTCGCGTTCGTAATTGGGTTCGGACAGTGTGACTCGTACCTGGGAATGGTAGTGTTTTTTGATTCCGTGGCGCCCGCGTCCCTTGATATCAATTTCTCTGGTAATTTTTCCACGTCCAACCGTCAGCGATGCTATTGTTATGAGAGAAAATTTCCATACATAAAACCATATGATCCAACGGGGCTTTCTCAACTCTAGCTCGGGTACGGAGACGAACCAACGTAGCAAGCAATCTACGAGCTGCTCGTTTTTTGCTAAACGTCATCTGAAGGATGGCATCTTCTATGGAAAGGCCTCGTACCATCTGTGAAATAAAGTTGAGACGCTTGGGAGAGCCTTGTGCCCAGCCACTATTCACGCTCACAGAATGTCCAGTATAGGGCGAGTTAAGGTTGATAATTTTTTTAGAACTTTGTGGAGATGAATAGTTGGCCAATGACTGAGGATTTTTTCGATTGTAAGGTGCAGAAAATGACCCCCTTGGCTCTTTGCAAAGGGGAGCTAGTTTTTCGCCAATATCGAGTAAGCGCGCGCCAGGATGGTTGGCATATTTTGCAGCAAGTGCAAGTTTCCTGTTTCTCATCAGAAGATCTGGTGAAGAGTGTCGTGAGCCAAGAGGCGAACTTTGTGGAAGGGAGACAAACCCCCTCCGAAAGAATTGACCCCAAGGTGGCATTAAACAATTTCGAATTGGACAAAATTTTAAAGTAAATTAATACACAGGCCTTGGCCAATCACATGTGCATGGGGTTAACAATGTGCTGCAATCGGAATAATCTCGACTACGTGCCAATTGTCAATGAAATCGTCTTTTTTTCTGGAGCAAAATCATTAGCCGGTTATTGGAAGGGGTTTAATCTGCTGGAAACAGAATATTTGTCACGCTGAAATGGATTATAGACATCACATTAAAATGTTGAAGAAATTGCAATTTTTTTTCCGGCTCATGTCTTCATGTCCGTTAAATGCTGCCACGTTCCCGATGTTACGGGTAGGAAAGGTCTTCGAAGACGTTGCCATGGAAAAATCAAAGATCAGCACCCCGTTCTTCGGCACCGTTAATGGAACGGCGCCCCTTATTTCTACAATGGAATATGACAAGTCCGGCTCTATGTTGCTTGCAGCCAGCGAGACTGTTGACGCGCTTTTCGTCTTTGAGGCTCTTGCAAGTCCAGAACTTCGAAGCGTGCACAGGATTTCTCGGACAGGAATCAATCTGCTTCGAGCGGGACATCACCCCTCCGTTCTTTACCATTCCACCACTAGACTAGAAGGTAAATAGTTTTCCTCATCTTTGTGAAGATACCATCAAATACCTTTCTATTTTGGAAAATAAGTACATCGCCACTTTTTCTGGACACAAGCGCAGGTTTGTGGCCGCTTAATTACCATAGGATTGTTTCTTTGGAGCTTTCTCCGCTGGATGATACAATCCTTACCGGTGCAGTGGACGATAGTGTGATGGTGTGGGATCCTCGGACACCCCAGGCACCGATCGCATCCATCCCATTGATTACAGGGACCCCACTCGTAGGCTTCGATCCCCAAGGTGCCCTTATGATGGGGTAACAGCATTAGGTATTGTGATTGGCGTGGCGTTGTCCTACAACCGCACTATGAGGCTATACGATGCTCGTGCATATAGCCGAGGTCCGTTTTCCATATGGGAAATTCCAGCCACTAACCCGCCCATATCCAGCTGGACACGGCTCGAGTTTTCTAATGACGGAAACTACATACTCATTTCAGGTATCGCTAAGCATTGCTTATGTTAGGTATAACTTTGGCCGCTAAAAATTCTCATTCTAGGTACAACTCGAGTCTTTTTCTACTTTTTATTCCTTAGGTATTCTTGATATTCAAACTCATCGTACATAGGCAGGACCCATCATTTTTCAATTTCGGCATGGGACGGCTCCTCCAGGGCTGTTTATGCTTTACCTGGCGCTACATCTGGTACAAACAGCCCTCAAGGACTTGCCGCTGCTATAAGCCCAGATTCACAGTTCATTTATGGTCCCATAGGAGACAATAGAGTGGCATTTTGGGAATCTAACACAGGAAAAGGCGTCTCGCTCATGGAAACAGGGCACAATAAGCCCATTAGTGCGGTAGCATTCAACCCAAAATATGCCACCATGGCTACAGCTTGCTCATCGATTGTAAGAGATCTTATAACTAGCCATAGGCACTATGGAATATTCCTTAGTCAAATAAAGATGAGTTTTGACAGCGGCAAAAGGGGATTTTTAGATGCGAAAGGAAATTAAAGTCAATCGTGGAGAAGATTTAAATCGACGGCGTAAAAGAGAATGATGGATGGAAACTTGGACGAATGAGAGATGATCGGGATGGACGAAATTGGTAATCAATAAACCCGATCGTGTTGTAAGGCTAGGATTGTGCAATCGGTTCAAGCCTCATCCCTTTCGAGAGAAAGGCCCATACCTGTCGCATGTGTATCAGTCCGAGAATTAATAAGAGCAGGAACAGCATAAAAGTCGATATAAACATGATACGCTCATATAACTGGCTCTTAGCGAACGTGACCATAATTGAGAGAATCCCACTATATTTAGGACCGATTTTGACTTACCTTGCGCCAATGTACCGCCATCCGACGGCCATGATAGTGACAAGAGCCAAATGAGCCAGGAAAAAGAGTATCCATAAGGCAAAGAATAATCCAGAATTAAGCCTTAGGGCAGAATATAGAGGAAGATGCCATGCGAAAAAGCCCAAGATTGGGTAGAAAAATAGAAAGAAAGTCGCAATAAGTGGCTCCCTGAGTGACCATGTACCGGAAACCGCTAGGAGACTCGAAGAGGCCACGTTTAGAAGAAGAGCCAGAATAACCACTAGAAAATAAAGAAAGGCATCATACACTGCCAGTAAAAATAGCTACGTCGTACTATGGGTCTGGCGCTTTTTTTAATGTCATGTTCAATATCGTGGCAAACTATAGGGATACAGGGGGGCCATGTAGCAATTCGCGGCCTCGGCATGCCGCGGGACATAGCCATCTCGACAGGTGGCCGCAGATTTTTCTCCCATGGGAAATGGGTCATTTCGGGATTTTGATCTTGATCTTGAGCCTGATCTTGACTCTGACCTTGATCTTGGTATAGCTCGCCAACCATCCGCCACAGAAGGCGATGATTGTAAATGTGAAGAATTTGGATGTTGACCCCAATTAAAATAAGGACTGACCAATCACACTTCCTGGACGTGACCAATCATATCACATAGCAGGCTATGCGCTGTAGGGCTATCCCATGCACTGCTAGTGATTACATGCCCATACTGCATGTAAATTAGACGAAGAGCCGAGGTTCATGTGTAAAAACTAAGGAATATTTCCAATGCTACGAAAAAAGTAAGTTGAAAGGAAAAGACGGATATGAGGAATCGATTTCGCGCCAATTTCGCCTCGGTGCATTTTAATTTTTACCATTTGATGATGGAGGGCATTCCAGGACCTCCTGAGCCGACACTTGTTCCACAGCGGGTACAGGTAGCCGTTCGGCTACGTCCTCCGGGGCTCGGAAGCTCTGGAAATACGGCTCCAATTCTTGTTGAGCCCCAAAATTGCATTAAGGTCGAGGTTGCACCCATGCATTCCTTCACATTCGACGCTGTATTGGGGGTAGATGCCACGCAAGAAAGCTTGTATGCACAGCTCGTCTCGCCTCTAGTTGATATATTCATTTCTGGGATAAATGCAACCATATTTGCCTATGGTCAGGTATGACTTCCATTCTTTTTTGCAGACAGGCTCTGGGAAAACATATACAATGGGCACTGGGTTGGAGAGCGTTATTTTTTCGACAGCAGAAATGGGTCTGACAGAACAAGGAATCGTTCCCAGAGCTATTATTGAGATTTTTGGGAAATTATCACCATCATTGACTTCTTCTTCTTCTTCCATTTTTGCCTCTTTCATAGAAATTTATAATGAAAAGGCCAAAGACCTGCTAGTTGGATCTTCTATTACCCCTTCTACGCCATTGGTGATTCGCGAAGATTCCCGTGGCGATATATATCTTGCAGGCTGCCACGAAGAGCAGGTCTCAATGCCAGCCGATCTTTTCAAGTATCCACAAGTGCTTTAAAACAATAGAGTCGTCAAAAGGGGGACACTTGCGCGCACTACTGGTGCAACTGATATGAATGCAAGCTCTTCCCGGTCGCATGCAATCTTATCGCTTATTTTGCGCCAACAAATTGAGAATGGCGAGGCAAGAGTTTCTAGATTTCATTTTGTGGATCTTGCCGGCTCGGAGCGTTTAAAGCGGACAAATGCGCAGGGAGCGCGAGCAAAAGAAGCCATTTCCATTAACGGGGGTCTTTTGGCGCTTGGAAATGTCATCTCCGCTCTCTCTGCAGGACGGAATGAACATATCCCCTACAGAGACTCAAAGCTAACGAGGCTGCTTCAAAATGCACTGGGTGGGAATTCTTGCACGCTTATGATTGCGTGTATTTCTCCTGATGAAGCGTCTCTCAGTGAGTCCGTCAATACACTGAAGGTATCAACAACTTGTAATGACATTCGAACACTTTACTTTTCCATTTTGATTCTTTTAATTTTTTGACGTTTGCTTACTTTTTAGTATGCTGCGCGCGCAAAGAATATCCGCAACAATGCTCATGTGAATATGGATATGTCCTGTTCTGCTTTTGAGGTGGCACAGCTGAAGAAGCAAGTTATGAATTTGAAAAAAGAGAATTTCGAGCTTCGTGCGCTTGTGAGGAAACCTTTGCCTCAAGGAGGCGATAGTGACACCCTACAAGGAGCTGTACACACCTCACCCACCGTGCTTGAGGAGAATATTGCTGCTCTGCGGGCATCATATGAGGCTAAATTAATCTTTCTCCAAGAACAAATATCCAATCTAAAAAAGGATTCCAGCGGTGCTGGGTCCACCATTTTGGCAGAAAGCAGAATTGGAATTGGGCTCTCCAAAACCCTTCGTGAAAAATACGAAACCAAGATCCGAGAGCTGAGTCGAGAACTTGCTTCGGCAAAGTTGGCGACGGCACGCACATCTACCACCTCATCTTCAGCATCGGCCATTAAAGCCAGTCAGGAGGTTCAGTTGCTCTCGCATCAGCTTACCACGCTTAGATCGACATTGCAATCTACGCGTGTAGAGAAGAATCGAACTCATCAGCAGTTGACTGAAGAGATGACCCGATTGCGAGTAGCGTTTGAACAGCGCGAAGCAGAGCTGAGACAGTTACGAATTGTGGAGCGAGAGCACAAAGAAGAGCTGAACCGTCTACGGCGCTCCCTAGAGCATGCAAAAAGCATAATTCGGAAAAAGTCATCCACGACGGCCTCTGCAGGCTCTTCCTTATGTGGAGGTTCGTTGACGAGGTCTATTTCATATCCCTCAACTTCAAAAGGTCATTCGCGTGGACTCTGGTCGCCTCGCGGAAAAGATTTTCTTCGAGAGAGCCAGCCACTCCTTCCTATGCTTTCTCCAGAGACCTTGCACAAGCGATCTGCTTTTATCATAGCACCATCTTCTCCTGCGATTTCGGTTAAAAAACCAAATTTCCTGGAGCAAGAGCTGAAAATAGAACATGAAGAGGGGATCCCAATGGATTTTTCCAAAGAAATTATAGCGTTTTCTAAGGAAGCCGAGGACGAAGAGACCGCCGAAAATAAGGAACTCAACATCGAAGCGGGTAACTTATCTGCGAACGACTTTGAACGAGTTGAGCCGCCATCTCCTTTTTTGCATCATCACATTCAACAGCCTGTTCAGATTGAGCGGAGCGAGCCTGTTTCCGTATCAAGCCTTTTCAGCAGAATCTCCGCTTTTGCAACATCGTCCCGGAATTCTTAACTTTATATAAACTATCTGTAGATTAAGCTAATATTCTTGTTCCAGCCTATAATGGTTGCAAAATAGTTGCATCGAGATATGTCAAGGTACATCTTACACCGTGCAATTTGAGTATCAAAAAAGCCTTTTGGAATTTTTCCTTGTAAAACTCTCTTCCTAGTTGCGAAAGTTCTCCCTTGCATTTCGGCGTTAAAGAAATTAAATGGCATAATTAATTCACGCAAGTGCGTGTTACTTTTGGCTCGAAATTTTTGAATGCCCCTCTCTAATACAAATTTGGTCGGTTTAGATAGCCCCAAATACAAATCGATCTCTGTATTCACTTGCTTCTATTTCTAAAAAGGCATTTGCCTTTTAATTGGAAACTATAAGGCGCCACATGTGTCTAACCATCTGCATACTGAGTTGTGTATTGGATATTGTTACATAAAAAGCACTTTCATTTCCTTCCAATAGATCTTTGTGATTAATAAAGCATCTTTAATGGTGTGCTTCTTCTTTCTCATGCACGTTTCATTCCAGGTTCCTTCTAAAGTACTGATTTTCACATTGAAGGGACAGTTTGGGACTCCTGACGTGCTCGAATTCAAGTCTCTATTTGTGTTTCCAAGGTCTATTTTTTCACATTAGCCCTAAAGTACGTCTCGCCCAAATTTGGAAGAACTTCCTGTAATATAGCACTATTTTTGTAGTAATTCTTTTGAGACATTTATTAAATATATTTTTCTCGAGCTTGTATTTACGGCTTTCCTTGTAAAATTATTCAGACGGCTTAAAAAATTGACGTCAACATATTATGAAAGTGCTTTAAAAATGGCGAATCCCTTTTGTTCGAAATACTGCTATTTTTTGTGTTGAATCAATGAACATGCTTTGTTTGTTGGAGCCAAAAAGTTGCGAGGACCATAAGAATCAAAACATCACATTGGTATTCACAATTGTCCGTGAAAAATAAAATTTACCAAAGGGTTAATAAAGCAATTAATTTTTCACATTAACCTATTTATTTGTCTTTTATTTCACCAATCATGTGAGACACATTTGTCAATCAAAAATTCCAACTACCAGCTTAGTATCTTCCATTTAAAGAGAAGATGAGCATAACGACGTCATTAAATCCTTTTCTTTCAGCTTCGGAACACGTGTATCCATCAGCAAGGGCATCGCTTGCTTCTTTCACAACAATTGAATATCTTGAAAATAGCAATGAGGACCTTGAGCCTGATGAGGAACCGGAGAGCGGTATTCCCCCCTTGGAAAATAGACCAGCCACTCCTTTGGTGGAGGGAACACCCTCGATAGTTGCTGGAGGCATGCTGGCGCAATTTTACCACGGTTCCTTTGAATTTTATGGCCCATATAATAGAGGTCTACTGGTTGATAACTCTGGGTATCCATTGCTTTCCATTGACGAGTGGAGGGATCTCCTTGCTTTGGTAAATGGGCCCACAATTACCGAGGACGTTCCAAGCAGGCTAAAATTTTTCAGGAAACTTGCATGCCTTTCCTTTTCCTTATTGCTTTGTGGGATCGGCTTTCTTCTCTTTATCCCGCTTTGGATGACTGCAAGGTCGTATGAGCGAGCATTCGTTGGATATGCTTTGCGGGTCCGTATATTTTTGGATGCATGTACCGAGGGCTTTTCTAAAAGGGGACTTGTCTTCAAACTTGTCCGCGCTTCCAATCCTCAGACACTTGCGGACGTAGAGAATGATCCCTATGATCTGTGCATTGCCGTCTCAATGATTGGCGGTCCAAGCAAAAGGATCAGCATTGTAAATTTGTAAACATATGTAACCCTAAGTGTAATTTAAAAAATAAAACGTGCTACAAAATTTATTTGGCGATCAATGGCTGGTCGCCCAAGATCTATAGTCGCTACCACCTCGACCGCTACTGCTGAAAGCCATACAGAGGATATAGTTTTAAGGATCCATGCAAC